GAACCGCTGGACAACCTGAGTATGACAACCATAAAATGCAGTTTCAAGATATGACCAAAGTGCAAACAGCAAAACATTCTGTATTTATATTCTCATATGTTGCGAACACCTAGGAAGACTTGAATTACAAAATCCACCATGGAACTTCCCAGGAAAAGATTGTTTCCAGAGGGAATAAAGGATCCAGTTTCTACATATCGCTACATACTGATCTCCACTGCATAACAGGAAAAGACACACACAAGTACACACAAAAAAAACAAAAACAAAAACAAAAGAAAAACAACCATATTAACCTTTGCACTCACCTCATACATGAGGAGGCTGTCAAGGAGACATTTAACACACGTTGCACAGAAGAAAATAGATAATCATATATACTGTAGGTAATGCGTCACAATACTATAATCGCATTAAATATTTATATGTGATAGTCTATTTATAATACTCTTGGAGGTTGAATTCCATTCTATTTAGGAAGCCTGCAATTGAATGGATAAAGCTCCATTAAAACAGTCACCAATCTCTGCCCCCCATCCCCCTTCTTTTTTCCTTCCCTGATATCATGTAAAGAAGGATTGCCAACAACTAAGATTAACGTGCCAACGCTCAGAAAGTTTCTAATAAATGAAAACAAATCAACTGAAATCATTACCAGGTCTTCAGCACCAGGAAGGTTTCCTCTTTTCGCAAGACTAACTGCAAGCCCCAAATTGTTTAACTGCAAAGTCACCAAACAAGAATTTAAAATACAACATTTTCTTTTCTCCAGTTGCCAAAAGTACAAAATGGCTCAAAAGTATACCTGACCACTAACAAAAGGTACAATTGTTTGTTCATTGATGGTGGCAAGTAAGACCTGGCCTCGCCTATTGATTGCATAAAAACCCCCAATGGATGAAGCTTCAGCTGTCAAAAATATAGGATCTGGACTAATTCGATTTCTATAAACGGCAGTTGCTGTCTCTAGGTCATATACAAATAGAAGCCCAAGCTTTGTGATAACGTATATCAACCCATACTTTTCCGATATCTGAAATTTTTTAAATTAAAAAAAAAAATAATGTACTTTGATTGATAGATAAAATATATGGGATAAGTCAAAGCAATGAGAGACTATAGTAAGACCTGCATTGACACAGGAAAGTCATCAGCAAAGTCTGGAGGAAAGAATAGATCTGCTTGCTTCTTTGTATATGATGGTTTTCCTGATGACAATTCACAGTAAATCAGTTCCAGAAATTAATCCTGAAGCAGAAGAAGGCATGTAACAGATGCATAAGACTAAATAAGATTTAAAACAGCAGACCTGGCTGAGCACCAAGCTCAATTACATGCAGCTTTGATGTAACTTGTCCAGCATTAAAGGACTTTGAGGCAAAACAAATAAGAATTGAAGGATTCTCATTCCCTGGAACCTGCATATGACATAAAAATTAATGAGGATTTAAAATAGTACAGCAGTAAATTGTATATCCTTTAGATTCAAGAAAAATTGAGTAAGGAATATAAAACCGCACTTTAAATGTGGCAAACGATGCAGAATGTGCTTCAAGAGCCTGACTACGTTTCTGTTCCACAGAGAAAAGCTGCATGTTTCCTTTGACCAGTTGTGGCCTCTACAGTCATTTTGGAAAAATCACTATGTTAATAGTTAAAGATGTCATCAAATCTGATAAACCAACATGGATTTCAGTCTTTTCAAGATAGAAACAATTTTTCCATGAACTAAAGGTAAATAAATAATAAATGCGATTTTTAATAGACACATTCCTTGAACAAAATAAACACACACACACAACACGGATTTTTTCCTGGGTACAGGGTGGAAATAAGAATATTTAAGCCACCAAAAGAGAAGGAATACTCCAAGTACACTGTGCAGAAGCACAACGCAACCTTTTGGTGAAAGAAAAAGGATAAAATGCTGAAGTATAATAGTCAGAACTAAAATATATTATCCAAGCCCAGCTCCCATTAATTGAAAGCAGCACAACATTTTGGCCTCTTCTTCTAAATCTTTGAGCAGACAAATTCAAATTAAGAAAAAAAAATAAAAAAAAAAAAAAAAAAAAAAAAAAAAAATGTTCATGTGTCATATCCAATCATATTAACCATCTAACAGACAAAAATTATATTCATAGATATATGTACAATTATAGGGGTGTCACTTCACACACTGCCAAATTTTGGGAAATCCATGAACAGGATTACAGAAACAGAAACAGTACAAAGGAAAAAAACCGCAAACAAGAAGTTAACCACTCACCTCAGGTGAACCAGGAGCAATTCCTATTAAGACCAACCACTTTTCAGAAGGATCACAACGGTAGTTGATTATTTGATTATTTGCCAAATTAGCTGTCCGCTCAAAGACCTTCGTAGGCTCGGAATCACCTAGAAGTAAGATACATTTCAAACATGTGCACAATATAAGAATAAAACTGAAAACCTCAGATGGAGAAATGAGATAATGAGAAGAAAATAAAATAAATGAAACCAGATTCACGAATATGTAAAGATGTCTTACCTTCAATTAACCAATGATATACTGAGGTCTGTGTTACCAGGCCCAGCATCTTTGGAGTGATCCACTTCCAAAAGACAATCTAGAAAGAAGAAAAGAGAGTAGGATTACAACCAATTACCAAAATCAAACCTATAATACCATATTGTAAACGTTCATAACATCTGACATGCAACATTGGGAATGCCCTAAAATAGGGCGAGATGTCACCTGCTCGGGCATCTGATGTGATTTCATCTTTGCTTTCATTTCAATGTTAAATATTTGTAAATGGTCCTGAGTAGTTCCTTGAACTTGAGCTGCACATTGAATTCAGCCATCAATCAGTGACGCAATAAACACAACAACAAATAACAAGACAAAAAAACAATATACTATGGCAGTCTATATTCCAGATTACAACATTTCAACAATGTTTCGTATATGCCAATGACCAATCATTTCTGATAAAAAAAATGGAACTGCATCCAATCTATCAACAGCAATGGCACAATTCCCATATATATTCACAATGATAACTCAAGCTGGAATTTCAGTACAGCACATTGGAACTGCATCATTTCCGTAATTTCAATAATTGAAATCTTACCTTTTAGAGCAAGAATTCTGGAATTGGGGTTCATCAAAGCCGAATCAGCCGTAATGGGCCGACGCAATGGCTGCATGGGCATGTTCATGTCGATGATAACGACGCTATTTTGAGGCGATGTTTCCCTAACACAAATATACTTGTCCGATTCCATAGTCACATGCGTAAACGTAATGAATTGGGGATTGATCCCAATACTAGGCAACTGCAAACCACACACATTCAAATCAACATCACCATTATCACACTCAACCATCAAACACATTGCTAAAAACCCAACAAAATAACAAACACAAATACACAAATGAATGCATGATCATACGTAATTAGCAAATGGGTCACTGGGAAACAGATTGAAAACGTAGTCTTTACAGGATCTGGGTGGATCCAGTGCGATATTTAGATGAAATTAGGATCAAGATGAGGGTGGCATTACCGTTAGTGTCTCTTTCATGGTCATGGGGGCACTCGCAGCGGCCATGGTGCCTGGGTCGGGGCTTCAATAGGAGGGACCCGATAGGCGGATAAGAATGTGGCACAGCAAAACCTTCTGATTTTGGATTGCAGAGAGAGAGAGAAGAGAAAGAGTCTGCAGATCTAAGTAGTATGTGAATGTAAATGCAGAAGAGGAGGAGGAGCGTGGTCTATTCGACGAGCTTGTTTGCAGTTTTTCTCGCGCAAAATTTGTGAATGTACTGCTGCGTGGGTTGTACGTTGAGAATGTGATGGGTTAGTGAAATGCACTTGTCAATTTACAATATCAGATTGCTTTGCGAGTAAGTTTTCAAGTTTTATTATTAAAGTGGAAACTATTTTCAATTTTATTCACTTTGATTTTAAAAATTGGTGAAAATGGGGGATACAAATGGTATTTCAATGAAATTTTTAGGGGTGCTTGTTGCAAACGTGTCAAGTTGATTTGTTCCTCAAGTGCAAATATATGGATGAATACGTGACAACAGAATCACATATATGTTTCGTCATTATTATTATTATTTTTATTAAAATGAGAAGTTCAACTTAGTATTTCTTTCGGCGTTGAAAAGAAAAATATCATTAAACTAAGACTTAATTCGCATATGTTTTGTCATTATTCATCCAACATAGGTTGTGACTTGATTCAATAAAATCGGAACACTAAGCATTTTTATATATAATTGCAGGATAAAGTAAAAGTTAGGTTGAAGCGTACATGGTAGGTGTTTTTTTATTTTTTTTCGTTGAAGTAACTTTATCAAAAGATATATTGTAATCAAACCTTTCAATTAGGCCAACGGTGCCATAGCTAAGTCGTAAGAGCAACTCCACTCATTTGCCCTTAGCCATGGCAATGGGGGAACTAGGGCAGCCACTATTCATGTGAATAGTGGTTGCCCTTGCAAATAGTATTTTGTGTTTCCACCCGTTTCCATGGCTAAGGGCAGTTACTATTCATTTTTTTGTTTTTTTCACAAATTTTTTTACCTCAATAATTAATTTGGATGATATTTTCGGATAAGATTTCCAGGTTCCTATGTGTCAATACTATTCATAATCGGATAAAATTTCCTGATAAGATTTTTGGGTTCAAATTTCGAATGAATTTCAGATAAATTTTTGGGTTCAAACTTCGGATAAATTTCAAAATTCAAATTTCGGATAAATTTGGGTTCAAAATTTAAAATTCAAATAAATTTGGGTTCAAATTTCGAATGAATTTAGGTTCAAATTTCGAATGAATTTCAAATTTCAGATAAGATTTTCATCCAATCAAATCAAGCCACGTGGCATCTCTATCTTGCCAAAATTTGCTATAAAACCAAAGGCTTAGCTCATACCTCTCACACCACATCTTTCTACATTTTCATTTCTTAGAGTTTAGACTTCATACTCCATTCATTCTCAATGGAAGAATATAAGAGATGCTTGGAGAGGCAAGAGCGAGAAATAAATGAGAGAAACCGTAGAGCAGATGAAATCAATGAGTTGCAGAGACAAGTCGATGAACAAGTTCTCATAACAGTGGCTTTGCAAGATGAAGAGAACCAAGGTCGCCGCAGTGGTTCACAAATCAGCCGTCGCCGAAATGTGGACAAACATAGGCATTCTCGAGGTAAGAATCTTTTGGAAGATTATTTTATCCCAACTTCTTTGTATTCTGATGTTGATTTTCGAAGGCAATTTAGAATGCAACCTCGTTTGTTCAATAAATTCATGCATGATATTTGCAATTATGATGCATACTTTGTTCAAAAGTGTGATGCTGCTGGGGTTTTGGGGCTTCTTCCAGAGCAAAAGCTTACTGTTGTTATACGAATGTTGGCATATGGAGCATCTACTGATCAGGTGGATGAGATTGCTCGGATGGGGAAGTCCACTACGTTGGAGGCTTTGATAAGATTTTGTGATGCAGTTGAAAATCTTTACACTAGGGACTACCTGCGTAGACCTACTCCCAAGGAGCTCCAACGACTTTTACAAAAAGCCGAAGCTCGAGGATTTCCAGGAATGATTGGTAGCATCGACTGCATGCACTGACAATAAAAGAATTGCCCAACTGCCTTGCAAGGTGATTATGAGAATAGAAAATGCCAAAAAAGTATCATCCTGGAAGTCGTTGCTGGCTTCGACACATGGGTTTTGGCATGCCTACTTTGGAGTTTCTGGATCCCAAAATGACCTCAACTTGTTGGGTAAATCTCCGGTCTTCAACGATGTATTGAGAGGCCAAGGTCTCAATATCACCTATCAAGTCAACAATACAGTCTACCAGACGGGGTATTATCTAGCTGACGACATTTACCCGAGGTGGACCACATTTGTCAAATCCATTCCGAATCCCCGATCCCAAAAGCAAAAATTATTTGTTACTTATCAAGAAGGATATAGGAAAGATGTCGAAAGGTGTTTTGGCATCCTTCAAGCTCGGTGGTTGATTATTCGAGGTACGGCCCTTATGTTTGATGAGGAGATCCTCATAAGCATTATGATGACTTGCATCATTCTCCATAATATGATTGTGGAGGATGAGTACGATTATGATGCTTTAGAGGTCTACGAACCGGATCCAATGAACACGCCCTTGACACAGATTTATGAAAGGCCCATAGGGCCAAGTGGAGAACCGTTTCAGCCGGAACTGTTGGTGAGGGATGGTCGTTTCATGACCCGGATGACAGATCGATATACAAAGATGCAATCTTCGTATATTCATGAAAGGCGTCAACTTGACTTGATGGAGCATCTATGGCGGTGAAAGGCAATGAAGATGAATGATGGAGCATAGATGCTTTGGTTATGTTTTATTTAGTTATGGTTTGGTTGTGTTGTTTTTTATTTATTATGGTTTGGTTGTGGTTTGTTATTATTATTGTTTGTTTTTTTTTTTTTTTTTTTTTTTTTTTTTTTTTATTATGTTTTGTTTGATGTATGGAATATGTTGAATAAAAAGGTATTTTATTGAATGCTTTGTTTATTAAATAAAGAAATCCAATACAAATCATTAAGAATTACTACTACTAAAATAAAATACATGAATTACAACAACTTTAATAGAAAACATGAAAAATAAAAATACATAAAAGGTATGCCAACTAATTTAATGGTTTTGATCAATTAACCAATTCGTGTTGCTAGGCCCATCATCCTGGAAAAGTCTTCTTCTCATAACATCCTTTCGTTCTAGCATCCAATATTGTTTTGTTTCAGGGGACATATGGCTTGTATCCATCGTCATGGTTTCCCGATCAGTCTTCTCCATATCTTTTTTGCTCAAATACTCCCTTTCTCGTGCACACTTGGCTTGAATTGTCATCTCCATATTTTGGCGTTTCTGCTCCATTTCAATTCTTATGGCGTTCTGTCTTGCAATTTCCTTCAAAAACTTTGAATTATTATTGCTTGAATTACCCGCTTTCTATGCCTTTGCAGTCTTTCGGCCAATGTGCATCGGCTCCTTTTCGATAGGTGAGTCTTGACTCATAGGGGAATTGAGAGGTGAATCCGATGTCGTTGAATCACGGAGTGACGTCTCGTTTAACACAACTGTGGGACCCGTGTGAATAATTATGAAGCGTTTGCAATATTTCACCACCTCCCAACATTCATGATGGTTGAAACTTTTTTTGTCACCCCCGGTTGCACCGAACCACATCTGTGCTTGAATCATCTATTTAACAAAAAAATAAAAATGCAAGAAATATTTAAAATATATTAGATATGCAAGTAACAAAAAAAATAATGGAAACGCAATTAACCTCACAAATAAATTGGAAGTGCAAGAAATATTAAGAAACAATTGGAAATGCAAGAAATATTAACAACATATTGAAAATGCAATAAATAGTAAGAAACAATTGGAAATGCAAGAAATATTAACAACATATTGAAAATGCAAGAAATATTAACAAAATACTTAAAATGCAAGAAATATTAACAAAATATTGAAAATGCAATAAATATTAACAACATATATATATATATTAGGACATTAAACTTAATAAAACAAAAATTACAAAATACTTACCTCGTTAGTACGATTTTCCCCGCTTCTATAGTTGTCCATCGCTTTTGCCCAGACATCTCTCCATTTTCCCAACTCTTTATTGAGAATTTTCCACCTACTAGACAATGTCATTTCCGTACGAGTCAACCCTGGAATTTTTTCACAAAATTCGGCATGAATTTTTTTCTACATATGAAAAAATTTCATCTCATTGCCTGTCACGGGACAATGACAAACTTAGAGCCAAGCCTCACACAAAAAAACATCTTCCATGGTGCTCCACGCCCCTCCAGTTTTGATAGAAGAAGCCATAAAAATAAGAAATAAAAATACAAGGTGAAAGAGAGGAAAATGTTGAGTAAAGAGTGAATAAAATGTTGAATAATAGTAGAAGTATAATAAAATGTATGAGGATTGGTGTTGAAAGTAAAGGGTATTGATAGGTATTTATAGGAAAAAAAAAATTAAAAAAATTAGTATTTTTTTAAAAAAATATTATTTTTTTTTCATAATTTTATTGCCAAAAAAAGGCCAACCGTTTGATTGGATTAGGAGAATCAAATCGGAGCGTTGGGGGTGTGACATGTGGTTGCTTCCTGTTGGAGCCTCCTTCGCGCTGATGTCAACGCACGTTGGGTTAAATTTTTTTTACCATTGGCGCGTGAATGGTAAAAAAATTTAAACCAACGCGTTGACGTCGCGCATGACGTCACCCAACTCGCGGGCTCAACCTCGGGCTGAACTGGCCTTCGGGCCAAACCAAGTTCGTGGGACCCACTCATTGCCCGAGCCTGGGCTCACTGCTGGAACCTCGTTTTTTTTTCCCCCCCCAGCCTTGGGCTAGGCTGAACGGTGGAGTTGCTCTAATAGCACCTAACTTAGACCGAAAAACAAAACTTTCAATTAGAAATACAAGCTTTCTAACTAGGCTTTTCTACTTCTTTCTTTATTGAGCTGGACATTGGGCCTATTTCAAATGCCAGCTACTTTTGCATGGGCTTATTAGTCTCGAGTGAGCCTTTGACGAGCTCGTTGGGCTGATCGTTCAGTTGTTCTTTTTGTTTTTTGTTTTTTTTTTTTTTTTTTTTTTTTTTTTTTTTTTTTTCTATTTTCCCTTACTACTTGAACTCACTTCATATATTTATGTTGGCCTCTTGATTTACTCCCCAACTAAGCCCGTAGCCTCAAACAAAGCATAGGAGCATGTATCACTCATTCTAGTATAGTATGTATGAATTACAAGTTTATAACTCCGAGCATTTGGTGTTAGAGCATTTATCCTTACATTCACAATGAATATTCATCGTTTATTCCATATGTCTTCACATATTAGACCATCATTGTTCAGCTCAAAAAATAAAATTTTAAAAAAAAATTCCAAGAACTATTTATGGGTGATTAGGGTTTGTTGGTGAGATATTAAATTTTGCAAGACAACTTGAATTATAGTCCACTTAGTTTAGTATTGCTTGAGTGAAGCTTGATGGCCAACATAACTATCAACAGAGCCCACTATCTCATGTCGTATATGGTCCACTCAGATATCAAATATACATGTCAACGATCAATTATAGTTATGATCGAATTAAAAATCAAGTCGTTTGAAAGCAAGGCAGAGACGCACACACACACCCATGAACTTACAATTTTTCCCCACTTGTTTTTTCTATTTAGGATATTTTAGCAAATTGTACGATCCTCTTGTCCATATCACATTTGATTATGAAAAACCCAATTTGCTCCAATTTGCAACAACTTGCAAACTCAACTGATCCCAGTTGCGCACGCCTTCCCTCATCCATCAGCCAAACAAAAGCCCATCATGTTTACACTACTTGTGCACAACAAACAAATTAAGTGCAATGCATATCATTCAACTGTTGTCCTTCGTACTAACACAAATTAAATGTCATCTACTTCAATGATTCATTACACTTTGATTTGAAACTGGTTAAGGAAGCGTTAAAGGCGTTATGTTACAACTAAAGAACTCTTGTAAAATCTAAAGAATCTTAACGGAGTATGTGCTGTTTTTGAAAGCTTTTCTTATGTCCGAAGACATTTTGAAGGCTCAATTATGTCCCTTGCCAACTGTTTAGATTTTTGCCTATGTTCTATAACTGGGATTCTTTAGTTGATCCAAATTTTGGTCCAGCGGGAGAATAAAACTTATGAACCAAACCCAACATGAAAAATGCAACGATTGTTTAGTCACATGCATTCTCCATGCCAAGATAATGAAACACAAACAATATAACAAATATTAATAATTAATAATTTATTCATGAATATTACCAAAGAATATAAAAATAGAAATAACATGCTTCTACACAAATTACACAAGCTGCCACAAGACCTTCTTATCCCTACTCTTTCCACCGCCAAACATTCCCTTTTCCACCCACACCAACCGCTGGAGCCAACCGCCGCGCACCTCCCACCGTCACAGTAATAATTACGTGCCCGCGCCACTGAATCACAGCCACCGAATTTTTCACATTCCAAATCTACCCCTTTTACATCTGAATATTCCCAACTTGTCCCTTCCTCACACGAACTCGCGCCATCTGCTTCTACTTCTACTTTGCAACAGTCCGCGCCCCTCACCGCAATCCATCCATCCGATTCCCAATTTGCCCCTGAATTCGTCGCCAATTTACCAATCCGCTCCCTCGCAGAAGCCTCGCAGTCCTCCTCGTCCTCCTCGTGATCATCTCCGAACTCGGAGTTAACCCAGTCGAGCACGCAGCGAGGCGACGAGTCGGCGACCGCATTGGGCGACACGGAAGCCAAGAATGGATGCTGCAGCAGCTTATCGCAGCTCCATCGCTCCTTCGGGTCTCTCATAAGACACTTCTCGAGAAAATCGCGACCCGTTTCCGACAACTGGTTCGGGAACCGGGGCAACCCGCCCGACAACCCGATTCGAGCCAGCGTGTCCACCCCGCGATCCTCCCACGCAGGCTTTCCGGTTACCATCTCGATCACCGTGCAGCCCAGAGACCAGACATCGGACTCCGGCCCCTGATATTCTCGGTTAATTACCTCCGGTGCCATCCATAGCGGGCTTCCACGTGGAACGATCGGGCCCGTACACGTGTCGTCGGAAAGCACCATCGCCGAACCGAAATCGGCCAGCTTGGCTTGGTCGAGAGCGGGGCCCACCAGGACATTCTTCCCTTTGACGTCGCAGTGAACAATGCCTCTCGAGTGGACGTACCTCAGCGCCGAAACGACACACCAGGTGCGAGAACGCAACGTCGTTTCGTCCACGTCGGCAGCGACGGTGCCACCTGGCAAGTACTCCATGTGGAGATTCCGAAACGAAGCCGTGGAACTGGTTGTCTCGCACGACACGTCGTCTCCGAGGTACTTGACGACGTGCGGCGAGGAGAGCGACCGGAGAATCCGAATTTCGTTCTCCAGTGACTCCAGCTGACCGGGAAGACACGCGGCGCGATCCACCGACTTGACGGCGAAGACTTGACCGTCCGATTTGCTGACCCCGATGCTCACAGTGCCAAAGGACCCCTTCCCTATACACTTCCCTCTTACCCAAGAAACCGTGTGGGATTGAGATAGAGATTGAGAGCAGCCATGAAAATTCACTTTTCCCATCTCGGAAATTTTGTGTGTTTTGTTTTTGGTCGACCCAAATGGGCCTTTGGCTATATATATACACATGTGTGCCGCGAACCATGAAAGTTTGTAGCTTTTCGAATTTTATTAATTCGTGAGTGTTGACCTGGAATTTCCAAATGGATAATCAGCTAAAAGGTCTGATGACGTCACTGCACCTCTATGCCTCTTGCCTCTTGCCTCTTCTTGCCTCTTGGTTTGTGTTTAGCGCCGAGATTGGGTAGTGGGGTGGAGGGAAGACCTTATCTGCTCACCGTTTTTGATCTGGACCGTCGGTTTTGACCTTTTTATAATTTACACTTGTCCATATATTTAATTTCGACATGTGGTTGTAGTGGCTAAATAGCTGCCAGACGCCTTGCTGCCAACTAATTTTTTGTTTTTATTTTATTTTAATATTTTCAAGAACACAAAATAAAAAATAAAAAATTGATTGCGGGGGTGGTGGAAGCATGGTAGTTTGGTGGGCAACAAGATCCGGACCCTTTGATTCGTTGACTTAATTATATTTCACGGCCTTGCTGTTGCTTCTCATTCGTAATATTTAAACGCTAAAATTGGATGAGGTTGCATGGATGTTGATGCGGACGTCCCGCACCGGATAACGATAAAAAGAGAGAAAGAGAGAGGTAGAAAATTGGCTGCCAAATATATTTGAGGCTGGGAGGAGTGCAACAACACATGGGTCATGGAGAAGACAGACAGATTTCGTTTTGTGTTGGTGGTGGTGGGGTCCACGCCCGATGACATGGAGGGAAACTGTAGGTGCACGTCGGCAGGAGAGAAGGTGGACGACTCCAAGATGCCTTGGATACATGACCAGCAGCAGCGCGATGCTTGAGAAGTCCAGTGATGACGCGTCGTCACTAGACTCCATGGGAAAAATATATATATTAATGTGGAAGGAATTGAGTATGCAATGCATGTCAAATTGGGTATCTTGAGGAAAGATCTGGGGGACACCAATAACATGAAACACCTTCTGGCTTTCTCTCTCCTAACTCCTAACTCCTAACTCGTTGTCGGGAAGAGAACGCCATAACGTGGGGGCCCAACAAAGGAAATTAAAATTTAACAGAAATATCATATGAGGAAGGAAGGAAGCTTCAAAAACCCAGCAATGAAACAAAAGTAGAAATCTCCGTACGGAGAAGAAGTTTCGTGATCAATTGTTTATGTGTCAAGACTCACACGTGGCATGTATATCATAGCTTAGACCTTAAGTTGATTCTTTTACATTTGAGGGTTGTGGGTTTGCTGCCACGTGTAGTGCACCAAGTTTTTGTTCAAAGTTAAAAAGGTTGGTATCTGCATGACAGAATAAAGGGTGTGAGATGTTTGAATGGGATTGGTTGGGACAAGCTTTTACGCAAGGGAGAAGAAAGAGATGGGAAAAAAGAGAGGGCGTTGAGGTTGTCCACAGAACCTCCATTAGGCAAAGCCAAAAACAAAAAAGGAGAAGGTAAGATGTAGATAAACTTCAATTCGGTACATACCTTATGGAGAAAGATAGACATGCTTGTGTCAATATCATTGTCCTTTTGATGATATATAACTATGTGTAAAACCAAGAAACAAAATTTGCCAAATATACTTCACAAGAAAATTTTGGGTGGAGATGTTGCCGTATGACAGTATTGAATGACAAAATATCTCAATTAAAAGACTATGTGTATAAGAAAAAAAAGTTTCTTTCATTGACTTTAGACAAGTTTAATCCTTTATTTGGACTCAACGATATCTAAAGGGCGAAGCCATCTTTAGACTAGAGTGGTCTTCATCCCAATCCAAATAACTAGAAAAACAATTAGTTAGTGTTCTTTTTAGGAAATTCACCATATTTAGTGAAAAATACAACTAATTTCAAAATATAACAAATAGTCTACTCCACCCCAGCAGTTTCTCAAACGAAAGAAGAACTTATCCGTATGGAAATTTATGATTCCATACTTGATAACCTCACACAAGTTTTCCTCATAATTTACCATTCGTAATATGTACCCTAATCTAGTAGCTTGAAGTTTGGTACCTATTGTTTATAGCCTATGATTAATCATACAATTATGATTTAAAAAATGTGGGTTTGCAATTTTTAATAATTTTGGGTGGTTGATGCATACGAGGTTTAAGTTTGTTCCGGTGGCTCGGACGGATGTCGTTGAAGATGAAGACAAAAGAGCAGGCGTTGATCGGAGGGCCGACAATCCAACATGCAGAACTCAAGAAGTAGCAAGTTTTGCGGCTGACATGCGAACCTCACAACTCACAACTCTTCATCATTTGATAATTTCTTTTGAGGTTCATGCATTACACGCACGCACGCATTGCCAAAATGCAGCACACCATTTGTTAACAGAATCACAATCTTCACAACAACCATCAGTACATGAATTTTTATTAATTATGTGAGTTCTTGGTGTTCAAGGAATGAGCCCATCATGGTTCTTTAGATATGAATTAACCTTGCTTAGTGACTCAACTTGAATTGGACTAATGTCCAGCAGTCTAACCTACAAGTATCGTCTTAAAGGACGATGCTCGAAAAGACTGCTGGCTCGAACTCAATTTCAATTCAATTTACATCGCTATGACCTGGCTACATTAGAGCCACATACAATGCATGCATGTAATTAGGAAGATTTGATTAATTGGATATACGGGATATGTTTGGTAGAACAGACAAAACAACATGGTAATTGGAAGCACATCAGAACTGAAAAGTCCAACGAAGCAAAGTTGGGCATTCCAGGAGAGGCAGGCAACAGCATTAATGATTAAGAACATGCGATGTGGGTAGACTCAAAGGCAATTTGGTCGGGTTCATGTGCTCTTTTCTGGTCATGTTAAGGGAAAGGGGTTCTTATTGACAACGGATCATGTTGGTTTGTGATTCCTCATTATCTCATTGTTTTCTCTGGTTTTGTTAATTATCTGATTAAGATATATAATTAAGTGAAAATATATACATACATCAAACGACAACCATATATATATTGTGTGGGGGCAAAGTAGTCGGCAGGTATATATGCACGTTATATTATCATCAATGTTATTATAAAATATTATTCCCTTTGTTTAACTTGAAAATAAGATGATTTACATTTTACCCTCTTTAATTGAAAAAAATAGATCTCTTAAATATTACCAAATGCCAAATTGCTTTCTCTCACAGCGATTATTTTCACAGCACAGTAATGTCAAACTAGCCCTAACTAGAAAGATAGAGATGATAAGATTGACGGTAGTTTGGGAGATTTTTTAGTTTTTAATTTATTAACTGAATTCCAATTACTTTTTTCCCTTGATGTGTTTGTTTTTCATTTCTTTTAATAAGGGAAAAATTAGTAAAGCATGAACTTTAGGAGGTATTTTTCACAATGGTTGACAAAGTCATTTCTTTTATTATAATAGGATTAGATAGATAAGCCATGAGTTAGGGGACATAGATTTAACCGCCCCCCAAAAAAAAAGAAGTGAATAAACCATGGACAAAGCCAGCTTTCAAAATAAGGTGGGCTAAAGGCCTATGACTATGAGTGGATTTTGGACTGTGAGTTATGCGTCCTTGAAATATACTTGGGATACTTTTATTTATTTATTTATTGTGGGCTGGGTGGGCAAGGATATAGCTCTTCCACCTGGTTTCCTTTTTCTTTGTTCTTTTTTATAAAAAAAAATTGGTGAAAACCACAAATGTCAGAACGAGAAATAATACACACGCCAAGAGTTTTTTCAAGGTTTAATACTAGATATGTTAACTGATGTGTCAATGTTTCATTTGTATTTTGTTTGTGCTTATTTTGAATCTTATTTATTCACAGTAAATAAGAAATTATCATATCAATTAGTTATTAAAAATTTGGATAATAAGTTAGTTTCTCTAGTATTATTGTTTATCAAATCTCTCATATTCTATCGGCCATACATCGGTCATAAATATGATTTTATAATTCCATCCAACTCACAACAAGGGACATAGTTGGGAATTCTTGAAGGTGAAATTCGAACCAAATGAGCTTCCATCTAAATACAACCTATGAACCACTCATCAACATACTCAAGACATCTTCTAACATTTAAAAAGAAAATATCTCTAAACTAATAACTAGTTGATAGTAAGTGTGTTCACAACGTGTCTAAAACTCACTATCTTTACCATGGTGAGGGAAAGACGTAAAACCCATATTACCACTTGTACCAAAATAGAATTTAGCTTTAATTATCCGACTGAAGTCCTCAATTACTTAATTTCTAATGCGTCCATGTCATTGTCTTGGTAATATTCTTAATTTCTGATGTGTCTTGGTAATATTTTATCTTCTTACGACATCATCACAAACCTGAAATCCCAACACAAAGATCAAGTCTTTAGTACAATGTTCGACCGTTGTAGCTAAAGACCAAGACTTCTTCCAACAGAAGAGGTCAGAGAGTTTGTAACATTCTATGTATTGCTTATATTACATCAGACAACTAATTCTAGAGAACAAAAATTTATTATAAAGAATAAATTAATCAAAAAACTAAGTAAAGTTATACAAAGAATCAAAGAATAGGGCTGCAAGAATTATACAAATCAATGACTGAGCTGAATCTCTCTTCTAGCAAGAATGGTTAATAACTTAATACCCTAATAATCTAAGCATAGATCTGGTATGCACCACACCTCCCGTCATCACAAATCCTAGTCAACAATACTGTCAACAACGGGCAAATTCTACATGTCAGATGTATCCCCTCAGCTTGTGTGTTAGGGTCACGATAATAATCGGAAAATCATACGTAGAGCCCCAACGGGACTACCATCACGCTAATATCATCGCAAGAGCCTCGTGATGCCGAAAGTTCTATCAGCTTTTTACAAGCCAACAGAGGTTGCCCATCAATGCCTAAGCATGAAGGACGAACAACATCCACTGCTTCCTGGTTGCTAACCTGAAACCAAAGAAAATAAATCTAATTTAGTGATTTGGCGGCACTAATTTGATCCAAAGGATAGGAAAAATTTATACATTCAGAAACAAAATTTTGACATGGGAATCTTTATACCTTATCCCATAATCCGTCTGAAGCCATGATTAAGAACTCGTGTTCAGGTTTGATTCTAACCACTGTGGTCTCTGGTTCTGGTGTTACAAATTGTTTAAGGTGCCTATCTCCAATTCCTCTAGATACAGCTAGAGTTCCATTAATTCTCCAAACACCATGGCTTAAATCAACAAAGCCACCCTACAAAAAGAAATTCACAACAACCATCAGTCTCAATTCAAATGAGGCTTCATCTGAAATAACCATAACTTATAAGAAATTAGAGGGCAAAATCTTAGTACTTACCAAGTTCTCAATTCTGACTTTCTCGTCTTCCCTTGATGGCCGATGATCACATGTGAGAGCCTCAGCAGCACCTCCTGTGCTCAAGACAGCACGGCAATCTCCGGCATTAGACACAACAAGGTTACCATTCCTGATCACAGCAGTCACACAGCATGATCCACCACGAAAATCCTCTTTAAGAAAATCAGAGTCTGTATTTAGGTAACCATGCTTGACCGCTTCCTCGATTTCATCATCATCCCTCCTCACAGCTTCATTTAAAATGTTCTTTGCCAAGTTCTCTGCTGCAAACTCAGCAGCTTTTGCACCTCCATGCCCATCAAATACACCAAAAATTGCCTGCAAACATGAAGCTATAGCATATCAAATTCCAATTCTCCAAGCACCCATTCAACTAACTACAATCAACAAAGGCCTAACATAGATTTCATCCATGCACATTCTAGGAAAAGAAGGAATTTTATTATTATTTATTTTTGCATCCATAGTATAATCAATTACTTTCAGTAGAATTCAATATACTATAAAACCTTTCCACACAAGGGTTTTAAAACATAGAATTTAACTATTAAAAAAAAAAATTTAAGCTACAGAAAATTTGTTATAGTTCTCATTATAAAAAACCCAACTTGATTTTGAAAAATTCCAATCAAAGCTTTCAAATTTCCCCAAATTCAGCTCCCAACACACCTCAATGACTAAAATAAGTTAATCCCAATTTTTATAAACTTAAAAAAGATAGCAACTTTATCATTACCTGTTTGGGATCACCTTGAAGATTAAGAGTAGCAGAGTATCGATCCTCCAAAGCCTCTCTTCTTCCTCTCTTGCAAGACACATAATAGTACCCTTCTCTGTCTGCCTCAACAACCTCTCTCCTCGCCGCAGGGGACTCCATCGCCGGAGCATCCCCAAAGCTCGATGACACCACCGGAATATAAAGCTTCGCCGGCCTCTTCCTCTTCAACTGCGTCACCGGAGAACCCGGACCCGAAGCTGAAAGCCCGCTCAGAGGCTTCGGGATCCGAAGCCGAAACGGCGACGACGGAGATGAACATGAAACCATCGCGTCCGACGACGACGACGTCGCTAGGGTTAGGGTTTCTGGGGATGGAGAGATCATAGACGACTTGTTGCAGAACAGAGACGACGGCGGCGAAAACACCGGCGAGTTCGAAACCGCGACGGAGCACGACATGCCGCGTTTCCTTTTCCGTTTAATTTTTCTGAGTTTTCGAAAAGCAAAGACCTGAAGTGTTCAATTTTGTGCCGTTTGTGCTTCTTTTTCTTCTCGATGTTTTGGATGAAGAAACGAGAAGAAGGTTTTTTCAATATATAGGTGGCTCCGAGTGGGGTCTACGCCTTTTTCCGTGTTTGTGGGGCCCTCGTGGGCTATTTTTATCATGGTTTTGACCAGGGATTTAAGGCAGGCACTCCTTCTTTCTAGAATGTCATATATGCCCCTAATGCTTGTATAATGTCTCTCCCCCGACATTGAGGGCAAAAGGGTCCAAAGGGGGTGCTCCATTGTAAATCGGATAAGGGCGTGTGTGGGAAAAACAGAAAAATGGGGGGAATATTGGGGGGGATATTATTTTAATATTAAAAAGGGGTCAAACACGTTATTTCATTTTCAATCGAGTGTTGTCCGAAATAAGTGTTGGGTTTGACCTCCCCTAGTCACTAAGCTAAAAGATGTTGTTTCGTCGTTTGATGCCGCCCAAGTGGACCCCACGAGGCCCTGATTGGGGATTTCCCAGAATTTCCAGGAACTTACCGTTGTGAACATTACAACGATAACACGTAGGAGTCGGATGGATGGATGCTGTGTGTCGTTGTCCATTGATTTCCCACGTTAGAGAAGACAAGAGACCGACTCCCCGACTGAGACGACCGTTGGGAAATTGGAAAATTGGGCGCTGAGTTCGTCAACATGTCAACTTGCATGATGTTTCATTTCTTCTCTGCTTCTCCTTTCTATTTTTTGGATTTGAAAATGAAGTTATCAAGCTGATACTGCCATACTTGAAAAAGTCTATATTACCCCTCTCGAAGGGCAATTTAATTACTGTATTGTTTACGTGCATAGAGTGCTAATAACAACTCCCTCACTGTCTTAACATAAGTTCATTCTTGTTCGTTTGCATAATTTCACTTTCTTATTTTTGTTTCTATGTATTTCTAATTGCATCGAATTTAGATAATTTCACTGCTTTTAATGGCAGAATTTTGAGTGGAGCAACGCAAAGAGCAAGGGATCTTAGATTTGCAAGGTAGTCTCATAAGCGGCGGACGTGACAATTTCAAACAAGAACAAGAAGCAAATTCGATGAAGGTGAAAATACACAAATTGAACTGAAATTTTGTGAAAACTAGATGGCATTTTCATATCTATGCCGTCTTCCATTGGGTTTTTTGGCTGCCAGCGCATGCGTTGAACCATTCCATCCTTGCATAATCTAGCTGAGTTGTGACACGTATTCTTCTAATACACTCCTTTGAATCACTAAATTAATACACGTTCTTGACATGACATTTGTATCTAAAAGCCAAAAGTTACACGTTGACATTTTGCTTGACACCTACTATTCACATTCTTGTGGGTCATGTCATTGATCAGCGAAAACCCAACTGTTGCCTAATAGCATCTGGATGGAAAGAGGTCACCCAACATGAAATTTCGTCAATATGATTGTTTGAAAAGTTGAAACGGACTTATAGTTTACGTGATTAAAAATAGTTATTCATGCATTTAAGGTCTTATTTTCGAATCCTATTCTTCTATATTGCTTTAGCCAATAATGCTAGGGACACTTGGCAATAATTTATTATTATTTTAACATAAAATTTTAAAAATAATTTTTGAGTTAAAAGTCACCGCCGCAGAACACCCATGTTTTACCACCACCAAACATCTCTTTGGCGTGCCGCCCGCCACACAACTGCACTGCCCTCACCACTAGAACACCACTGTGGCTCCCCAACCCAGCCGCATATCACTAAGAATTCACAGTATGCAATGGTTGCAACTGTTCAATCTCAACTATTTTGATATTTGTATCGTGTAAAAAATCTGCTCATTCATGAGAGTTTAGATGGTTGAGATTGAACAAAGATCATTGGTTGTAGCTTCATAGATCATAGCACATCTATAAATATAACCAATTGCTTACAATACAAAATATAGATCATCTACGTTACTAGATAAATGTTAAAATTCGACTAACATAGCCCAATTACAACAACATAAAGTCGGTCTCTTTTGGGTTTTCATGAAATCATTTTACAAATTCCATAGAGTAGAAATTACTTTTTAATTTCTATGTTAAAATAATTCAATTAATGCTAAGTACATGTGTCAATTATAATTAAAACTTGATGATGTGGTAGACGCCATCTCATTTGGAATTAAAATTTGGTGTTCCCAGCAATATTGCTTTTTATATATACAAGCAAAAATGGGGTAATGCTAGAGATACCAAATTTGTACACCAAATGATGTGGCAAATAACACCTCACCAATTTAAATTAATAAAACTAACATGTGCCAACATCATGCATGATTTTGTTGAGCAAATGGGGCTGCATTATATATCAGTCTCGAAAATCGAAACAAGAGTACAAATAATTTGGGATAAAGTAACATTCCAAGAGATTCTTACCCCCAAGAGTGCCTACGTCTGTTCACATTCGGGCCACGACAGACATTCTGGCCACGATCGAGATGTGAACCGCAATGGTGTTGGCTTGATCATCATCTCCTTGCCACTCTTTATTCTTCATCATGTTTGCGAATTCTTTCTTCATTTTCTCGCTTGGCTCTCTCCAACAACCTCCTTGTGTAAAACATTGATAGTTGAATGTGTTTTGTAAAATCTGAGAAATGAAATGATTGAGAGGATACGGATGATTGCTATGAGTTGAGACTGTGGTTTTATAGAGGGATTTAGAAGATAGAGATGATACATGGTGCAATTGTAGCAATTGAAAATCTTATCCGAAATATTATATGTGAATTTTATAATAACTATGAACATGTGGAACATTAATGCAAGACTTGCCAACGCAAGCCTTTGTTGGTGTGAACAACATTAATGCAAGACTGGGGTGCCTTTTGCCTTGACAAAAGGAAACCGGTGGAAGTAGCCTTAGGTTCTCACTAAGAGCAGTTCCAACGGAGGGCTCAGCCCAAGGCTAGGGGGGGAGGAAAAAAAATGGTGTTCCAGCGAACAGCCCAAGCTCGGGATGGGAGTGGGTCCCACGAAGTCGGGCTGGCCCTCAGGTCAATTCAGCCCGAGGGCTGTTGCTGACGTCATTGCTACAGTGTCGCTAAAGTCCATGTGTCGCGCTCTAGACTCTCTGATCAGATTTTTTTTCTCCAATCCAACGGCAGTGATTTTTTTTTAAAAACAAACAACTTTTTTTTATAATACCAAAATTTTATCCGATTGAGATATGAATTTTATAATACATATTGACATGTACAAACCCAAAAATATTATCCAAATTAATTGTTTAGGTAAATAAATTTATGAAAAAAACAAAAAAATGAATAGTAATTGTCATTTGCCATGACAACGGGTGGAAACACATAATACTATTTGCAAGGGCAACCACTACTCATTTGTATAGTGGCTGCCCTAACTCCCCCCTTGCCCTAGCAAAGGGCAAATTGGTGGAGTTGCTCTAATCAATGACATGAACCACTAGAATTATTGCATACGATCAAAATATCTTAGAGTGAAGAATGTGAATAGTAGGTGTTGGGTATGAAAGAGAAAATGTCAACTTGTTTTTAGCTTTTGGACACGAATGTCATGTCAACAACATACTTTGATTAATTTAGTGATTCGAAGGAGTGTAATCAGAAGAATACGTGTCTCAACTTACTTAGATTACATTCAAAGGAGTGGATTGGAAATGCGGTTACTCTTTCTAAATCCAAATTATATAAGCTCGAAGGTGCAGATGTCCGGCCCAAAACCAGAGCATGTGCTAAAAATCCAAACCCCTTTTCATTTTTGGGTACATGGGCGACCCAACGCCCAAATCAACAAACTAAAACAAACCAACAAGGTCCTTAGTCATTTCTTCCATTCTCTCTAGCCTTCTCTTTCCATATCCCAAAATTACCAGCATTTTCGCAGCCTTTTTCTGTTCTTTATTTACAATTTTATATATTTATTTGAAAAATATTGAGAAATTGCGAAAAATTAATTCCAAAGCCCAAGCATAAATTGGACCCAAAAACCAGGCAAATATCCATTGGGTTTGCTCATAGGATTCTGGGTTTTCATGGTCTTTACAGTTCCAGAGCTTACACAAGTTCATCGACTATTTCAAGTCCAGTTTTCGTTACATAAGAAACAATAAAAAAGGAAGTAAATTGTTCGATAAAAACATGGAAGAAATTTAGTTTTCCGACGTCCAAATACCACACAGAAATGCAGCATTAGATAGCGAGGAGAACATCTTTCTCGGCTTCTCTTCTAAAAACACACACAAAATCAAATTAAGTGCATGTTGAATACGATTTATAAAGCCTTCAAAAAATTAAATTAAAAAAAAAACTGAAATTCATAGATTTAAGAAATATAGTTGCTCTTTCTCCATCTGCCAAAAGTAGCAAAAATTTGAGGGAGAGATTAAAGAAAAAAAGCAACACGATCGATTTTGCTTCAAGGGAACGAGTCATTTGGGAATTGAATTGATCCGCAATGACCAGATAAAGAAGCCTTCCCTAAAACTTGAAGAAATGTTTTTACGACTTTCAACTTCAATAAAAAACCAGAGACCAAATTTGAGGACGGAGGAGGGGAAGAAAGGGTTCAGAGCAATGGCTCTAAGCGGCGCTTTCATGCCTAAATATATAGAGGACGAGGGGGGAAATCGGACGGTTGTTATTATATCATTTGTGGATCTACGGTCCAGAGTCTTTTCTCTCTATTACCACACCTAAACCTAGTTTCCTTTCTAAACCTTGTGTGGGTTTACGAAAATGGCGTCTTGCTCATACGAAGGCAGCCCAAGCCCAAGGATTGTATTACACGGGTGTATTGTATTTTTTCAAAAATACTTTCCTCTTTCAATACACTTCTCAAAAGATCCAGTAAAATAGACATTTTCAAAATTAAACACAAAGGGTATGTAGCTCAAGTGACTAAAAACATTTACCCATGCACTCGAGGTCCTAGCTCAAGTGAGCAAATGTTGGAAACGTGGTGCTTGAGTTATTATACATTTACATATTTTTCATACTATACATACATACACATATATACATATATATCATTCACATTTATTATATGTATTTTTCACATATTATTAAATAATTATATGACAATTTGTAAATAATCAATATTAAAATATTTTATAATAACTGAAATTTTCACCGTCTTTTAAAAATTTTACCGGCATAATACATGCAGATCAAGTTTTTTATTTTTTATAAATGTGAGAGTGGTAGAGAAATCCATTAAAATCCCAGGACCAAATGGCATCCCATAAGTTTCTCTATAACATACCTTTTGTTTTCATTTTTTCTTCTTTATTTTTTTGCTAAACACAGATTAAGAAAAGCTATCGGCCAGAAAAATATGGAGACCAACGAGGGGGAAAAAAGCCAAAGCTTTCTGCAAGAGTTTACAGAAGTATCACAACATGTTAAAGGTAAATACAGTGTTGAATAATGCCATCATGAGTATACTGCAGCGAGTAAAAACTATCTGCTATATTAAGAGAAACATAAGCCTATAACACGAGAAGATGGTGTACAAAAAGGGCAGTACATACACAATTGCTGTCGCAAAATCAACAATTTTCACAAGTCAAATATAAATACTGAGTGTAATACATGCTGCAGCTGCATTCAAATCATCATTCAATCATTACATTTGAACCTTCCGGGTCGGTGCTAGCTCTACGCGTCACCATAGATGCCTGAAATTATATTAGAAGGAAAAGTTAAAACTACATTTTAATATTGAAGTCCAACTGTAGACAATCCATAAACAACAGGTAGACTGGCTGAAAGAACATTAAATTGCATAAAAGTAAATTTTGCAATGCTTCAATGGGAACAACACACCAATACGAAGACGTATCACACCAATATGAAGACATATCACACCAAAAGATTTGTTATATTTTTTGTTTGTTTTTTTTCATTTTTACATCCAGAATCTTTGACTGATAAAAAAAAGTCCAAATTCCATCCCAAAGGTTTAGAGTATAATGTAGGATATAGTTGACACTCCAGACAAAATACTTGGGTATCTCTAATAAATAACTCAAAGGGAGCCTCTGCAAAATTGGCAAGTCTTTTTGGAGTTCCATAAACAATTTCACCTTCCAAAGTTCTGTGTATGTTTCTAAATGCCCCAAAGAAAACAAACGGGAAGAGGTCTGAAAAAGGCTAGAGAAAACCTCACTGTTTGTCTAGTTTAAATTGCCCCAATTCAAGAACAGTAAGCAAGACCACAAGGATGCATCCAAATTATTTGATGACAGGTTATGTAAACCCTTCAAAATGTTTGTATGTTGTGTTTATAGCGCTTTCATTTTTGTAACATGAAACCTCACATTATGAAACACAGCTATAGCAACCTATTCAAGCATGCAAGAAACCACCCATTATAAAAGAGGGTACAGTGGGTGCACTGAAGAAGGCAGTTCAGTTATGCCGAAATAGGTAGTCAACATCTGAACTAGTCTTAAGAACATTAATGCTACAACTCATCTATCTTCCCAAAGGAACGGAGGCTAAACCAAGAGTTGTAAACTGATTTATTTGGCAGCTGAATTCCACGTTATCTACTGGCCTTGGCCTACCATTACATCCAAACACATCATAGCAAAGAACATATTACGAAATTCCAATATAACATAACGATAAGATGCTACAACTTATGATATCCAACAAGAGAAAAAGGTTAGAATGTTACCTCTTGCAAAACTCCGTTACATATCGTGAGCCATTGTAAAAAATGAACCACATCAACACAACGACCAAAGTATCTGTCAAGATTTAGGAATTCACAAGTGCAATGTAACAGCACAGAGGAAGGGAGAGAACTTCATATTAAATTTGATCGAGAATGGTGAGAGATGTGGGTAAAATCTTATATCCTAAATATAACATTTCCTCAATATGCATTTCCCCTCCTATTCATTAAGTCAAAAGACTGCACCAGAAACATGATAACCAAAAATATAAATTTTAATGAAACTTATATATGGCAATATGGTAGGAACCAATAAACAAGCTCAAGAAAAACTTCAGGTTTTAGCATATGGTGATCGGAGATATTGCAAAATAAGAGGCACCTTTTCAAATCATAACAGCAAGAAAGATTTATAATAAGATCAAGCAAAATGCTTCTTTTTTCTAATTGAACAAATGGTAAGTGTCATGCAACCACTTGAAAATTGAAATTATAAACTCCATCTCTACATGATCATGGATATAAGCTTACGCTCTAAACTTAAAAAGGACACATATCAAGCATATTGAAGAAAAAAAGGCATAACATAGGATACTGAAGAGATAACGCTCCCACCAATCCAACATATAGAGCCCAAAAGTGACATTGTAAAGATAAATCTTTCGTTGAACCCAATTCATGGCTCGAGAATCTACAAACAGTAAGCATAAGTCGGTGCCAGGTTAAGATGTATCCAAACAAATATAACTTAACAAAACCATATATAAATGAAACACAAAAAACAAAAAACAGAATCCAGCAATAAAAAATACAGTAGCAAGAGCTGATTGTAGCACTGAGCTTCGCTGAGATCTTACAGAGATTTACATATGCATCTATCTTTTGACCCAAAAATCTAACACAATTGAATATTGAACAAACCAGAGAATTAAGGGCTTGTTTGGTTTGTGATTCAAAAGTTACGATCCATTCCAAAAATTTGGGTTGTATTCCGAATTTACGGATCATGACTAATATTTACAAGGAAGACCAAAGGAAATCCAGGCCCAATCGAACTCCAAGCACTCTGTCGCGGCATTTCCACACACAGTTATACCCACAACCAGCATTGAAAAAAAAAAAGCCCCGCTTTTCCCACTTGCCATTAAACCAAATACAGAAAGATCATCCTCCCCCAGCTTATATTCACGAGATTAGAACTGTAATCTGTTTCTAAAGGGACGAGCAGCCAGTCAACAGTGGTGAGCGCGAATCATTGACCGCCACACCATGGTAATTGGGTTTTAAAGAACACAGAAGAGAATGAAAATGGAGACGACGATGAACTCATAATTGAAATGAAAATCAAACAGTTTTCCCGTGAAAGAATACCAAACGCACCCTAAGATTTATTTGGGTAGATTCAGTGTAAGTTTCAGTTTTCGTTTTCACCATTTTTGGGACTTTATTCGTATTATCAAGCAAGTGAGCAAACTAAACAGATCGGTTAATTTACAAATTTGTCAACTCTGCTGCCCTTTTTCCCGAACCTTTCCCAGAAACCAAACACAAAGAGAGGCTAAATAATAACTTACCAGTGGCAAAGAAGTAAAGACTGAGTTCAGTTCAGCAGCTGGTTGGATGGGATTGGAGCCAATGAACCGTGCCCCTGCCAAGCGACGGAGGGAAGGAGAGACAGAGAGAGGTTTTGAGATGGCAATTTCCCAAACCAGGTTGTTCGAGTTTCACTATCCCACTTCTCCACTTCTCTGCTTGATCCACCATGAAATAGTCATAATTAGTGTTTGGACTGGGCTATCTATGGATTGGATTGGACTTTCATTAGGCCTGGGCTGTTGTGGTCTATTTAGGTTCTCTGTGTTGTTGACCTTTCAAATTCATAGGCCCATTACTTGTGTGGCTTGGGCTTGAGCCAATAGTAATAGTACAATATCTTATCTACCCACTTGCTCTTATACATTGTGGAGAAAAATCTATACACGGGTGCATTTCTGTCATGTGATAGTATTGAGTGAGAGAACAATTCAGTGAAAAAATTGCAAGTGTCCAAGTTTGACGATAATTTTTTAAACACATACAATTTTTTCATCGCTCAACACTGACACATGACAAAAACATTTCTCGAGTTGAACTTTGGCCAATTTGTGAAAAATAAAAATAGCCCAAATGTGAATGATAACAATAGCAAATTTTTATTTATATTTTTTTAAGGAAGATAATTTATTCATCAACAACAACAATAATAATTTAAATTATCATGATTGTCGTCACTTATTTTCCGGTTGCAGAAATTAGTAATAGTATGCTTAAAAAGATGCTAATTTGGTCATGCTTTGCTGATCTTATCGTATATTATTTTACTTTCCTTTGTTTAATGTCTAACAAGTCATTGTTTCCACATTAGCCCACTGTCCCCTGTGCTTTTCCATCCAAGCTAAACGCCAAACTCAATCGTGCCCCACGCTAACCCTTACTAGTAAATTAATCAAATCTTAATCAACTTATATGTTATTTAATTAATTAAGTCGCTTCTTGCATCCTTGTGAGGTAGAAGCCAAACATAAACAAGGGAAAAGCCCTTTTTCACTTGGCATTAATAATTTACACTCAAAACAAAGGATAAGATTTTGATTAACCTGTTGAATCGTTCAATTTGGCTTCATTATCTCTTCGGATTCGATTCCAAATATAATTAAAGAATCTCTTAACGATAGTTTCAAAGCTTAAAAAATATGACAGATATGTTACAAACAAATGATTTTAAATCTTACTTTTTTCATCTTTCTCTCTCTCTCTCTCTCTCTCTCTCTAAAAAACCCCATAATTTAATGTATAAATCATATGATATGAAAAATGTCAGTTTAATATACATTACTGACTTGTGTTTAAAAGTTTTTACACTGCAAATTTAGAGACCATAACGGAGCCACATGTTACATGCAAGACTTGTGATGGCCCTGACTCCCCAATTTACATGTTGCTCTATGTATTTGTAGCATTCTGGACAACTTTGAAACAAAGATTCATCTAATGCCCCCTCCTCTCAAAAGTTAACGTATTTAGACTTCTTAGCTCATTCAAAAGAAGGTTTCATGGCTCGGCCCTAACCGGAGGTTATAGAGAATTTTTTATTTGTAATCGCAACACCGTTAAATAATTTATAATAAATATACTTGTCATCTAACGTGAGTTGATTAATAATACCACATGACGATAGTATAGTATACTTAAGTTAGGTTGAAACATTATTGGGCATATATAGTCTCCAACTGCCGTGTCACACTGCTCAATCATTACTTACACATTCACTCAATCGAGTTGCCCCACGCCATGGAAAATTGTTGTAGATGAAATATAATTGGAGGGGTCAATAGTCAATAGTCAATAGTAGCAAGCTAAATAACGAATTAGAATAAGTAATCTTTTTGTCATTACGATTTGATTCGCGCTCGCCTAGAAAACAAAACTAAATAATTCATGGTGGTGATGATGCAGCGGTGGTTGGTTACATTATCAATCGTTTTCACTTCTAAAGTTTTATAATAATTCATCGATGGGGTTTTCATTGTCATCGTCAATGGGTCCCCATAAGTTAACATCAGTGATATTACTATTGCCAAATTGTCAACTACATAAACGGGTTCCTCACGCCACATATCTTGTACACGGATCATCGCATACCATCAATTAGTCTATTATTGTACATTTATGACTTTTATGACTTGACTATAAATAAAATTAGATTAAATTAATACATGAACGTTTAAACACTAGCCGGTTATTAAGTTAATAATAATCCGGTAGGTATATCTATTAAGAATATTACTTAGCATGAAGAGTTTTGAATGGATGAAAAAGTCAATCATGAAGACTATATAGCTACTTAGACGACCAAAGAACATAAGCAAATTAATACTATCTAATCAAGCTTTTGCAAACGCACATTTAAAATTTTTTAACATTATTTTGAGCAAAGATTTTGGCAATTGGTGATGCAGCACAGAAGCATGGGTTTATGCTCGACAAACGTCTAAACTTTGAAACATAAACTGAAATCCATCATATTTTAGTGAAAATCTCTAAATTTCATTAATACAATGTCATGAGTTGGGTTAAATAGAAAACAAATAAACCCTAAAATCCTAGAAAACTCTAGGTTTCAGTATATTCCTAAAACTTAACTAATAAGAAAGAAAATAATTTAAATCCTAATTAAAATCATATCATGAAAATAATATTCTGATTGATAACTTATTCTAAAAATATAAATATGTTATAGAGCTTCTCAAGAAATCAAGCAATTCGAAAATCCCAACGATATGAGAGAAACTCTCATGTAACGGGGATAATATTTTTTGCTACCCCGACCAATAATATAGTGACACGTAGGATAACTTTTCCACGTGTCATTGTGTTATTGGCCGGGAATAGCAAAACAGTGACATCCCCGTTATAGGTAAGTTTTTTTTTCCAACGATACGCCTTCCTTCTTTTCCTAGCGCCATAATTGATGCTCAAGCATGATTTTCCATATTTGAAGCCCAATTTTCTGATTTTGAAACCCATGATTTGTCCTGCATCAGACCCCTTCACTTGTAAAGAACTCTTGACCTCAAGTTCTCCTTGAATTGAACTTGGGTAGACATAGAATTTGATGTGTGAATAAACTCTTGAATTCTTGGAGTCCAAACTTGCTCATACTTGGATGGAATTATCATACAATTAATTCCATAAACAAAATTAGAATATGCCAGTTGATAATCAAACTCCTTTAATAAATTTGTTTCCTCCTCAAATTCAGATTTATTCCTACCTTCAATTTTTCCCTCCGTCTTGCGGGTTACTATATCATCAATTAATTCAACCTCCATTACAATAATTTCTTCTTCTTTGACCTCTTCCTCCATTTTTCTTTCACTCGCCGTAATTTTGGGTTGATCAATTTTGTTACTATTCCTTGACAAATATATATCATATTCAAAAGGAAAGAATTTGTTCACAATAAGTCTTTTCATCCTACGCAAAGAAGCGATAGGATTTTAACCTTGTTTCTTCATAGATTTTAGCTTTTGATCCCATCAAGAAGTGACATCGCCACTTAAATGAGACACAACAATTTTCACCATATGCTCTTCTGAAATTGCTATTGTATCAAATAATTCCTCCACATTTGCAACCCGTTCGAGAAACCATTCAGTGCAGTCACTTCCCATAAAGCATGGAACATCTGCAACATAGGAATGATGAGGTTGGCTTTTGGGTAAATCCACCAGCATGTTCCCCTTCAATATTTGATATTTCCCCTCGACTATCGTCAATGAGGTTTGCGTACCTCCCATCGCCGCTCATCATTGAGAAAGTAAATCATTGCTCTGAATGATGACCCTCTATGATACCACTTGATGCACCGTGACAACTGATTGGCTAAATCTTAGTTTAAAATATGTAACTCTGGAATCCACCAGGAATATATTATGAAACTTCAAGGTTTATTTGATAAACTGGAATTTACAGTTGATCTTATTTGCCTTTACACTCGTCGCTCCAGCTCCTCTTCAATTACTTTCTCCATTTGTTCTACATCAATTGGCAATTTGAAATGGAAAGGCAAGTCAATCAAGTTTACCAACTAGTCATTCATTTGATGATACTTCTGTTCCTAACGATTAGAAGAGGTTTCAAATTCTAACGTCTAACTTCACTGATGAAAGAAAAAGAACAAAGATAACCCGACAAGCCAACCAAGCTGGTCACATCGGATTGGACCATGGTTAAAGCTTAGCTACAACTAAGACAACCCGTCATTGTCCATTGCTACATATAAGTGTATTATTATTATTCTGTGTAACATTCTGGTCGAGTAGTAATAAAACGAAAATCATACAAATTTCTCTTTGGATTTTCTTTGCACTTCCTGATAATCACATGCCCCATTTTTCCCATCCTGGCATGTCTCCCGCAAACAAAGTTGAAAGTACCAACCCTACAAACCCCACTGGTTGTTGCCCATGAATAAAGAAATTATAATTAACAGCTTACTCTCTCTTCGTGCTCTAGCTAACACACACACAAGTTTATCCATGTATCAAGTGACCCGTTTGATTTAATT